CAGTAGTTTGAGTGCCAAAGGGCCACCTGAGAACCAAAGGGTCACTGGTTCGATTCCCAGGCAGGGCACATGCCTGGGTTGTGGGCCAGGTCCCCAGAAGGGGGTGTGCAAGAGGCAACCACACATTGATGTTTCTCTTCCTTTCTCCCTCCCTTCCCCTCTCTTTGAAAAGAAATAAACAAAATCTTTTTTTTTAAAGGACCCCACTAGGCAGGAGGTAAGGTCTTCTGTGGCCGACCCACGTTGCTGGACAAAACCTACTGTGCCCTGTTCCAGGGGCAGTGGCGCCCCCCCCCCACCAGAGGGCGCCGTGTCACTGGCACGGTGGGCCGTCCTCTCCGAGGGAAAGGTGTGGACCGAGGCCCGGGCTGGAGATGACATCACGCGTGCTGCTCCCAGGTGCAGCTCCGCTTTCACCTCCACGAGCCGGTACAACTGGTTGTGTGGTGACCTGCCTGCGAGTAAAGGTGACCTCGTTTCCACCACTCCCACAGGAGGGCCACTCGTGGCTCGAGGGGGAGGAGTCACTAGGGCCGGATTAAAGATCCAGGAGAGAACTGGTTTCGGAGACGCGGGAGAGCCCAGCATCGTCGGCCCAGACCCCAGCGTGGGCTCCAGGCTCCGCAGCAAAGCTGCCGTCACGGAGGTGGCTGGGATCCTGAGCCTGGACCCTAGAAACTAACTTTGCACTGGATGAGAACGATGAAAGCAATAACAAGTCTGGAAGTTCTGCCATAGTTCCTGGTCCTACACACCTGGAGACCGAGGGACCTAGTGCAGCAGGTTGGATTCAGGAAAACGAGAAGACGAGCGTTAGAGTTCCACGTTTTTTGTAGGCAGGGCAGGTCAAGGCCGCCCCCAGAAGAATGTGCACTGGTCTCCCGAAGCGCACTTGTGGGGCCGCACCCATTACCAAGTCAGGTCGGCTCTCTGCGTGAACACACCTCTGCAGAGTGGTCGGAACACTCCGAGACAACCGTTTAACCTCGACACGACTCCCAGAACGCACTCCCCCAAAGACGCTAGCCAGACTTCAGAGCACTAAGAAGCATCCTTGACCTTCATATGACACTGGCCATAGAGGAGCAGTGGATTTTGCCTTTGCACATCCAGGAAATATTTTAAAATATATTTTATTGATTATGCTATTACAGTTGTCCCAGTTTTTCTCCTTTGCCCCCCTCCACCCAGTACCTTCTTTCTTCCAGCAGCGCCCCCACCCCGGCTTAGTTCACGCCCATGGGGTCATACACATAAGTTCTTAACCTCTCCCTGTCTATTGTCTACCTACCATTTGTGCTTTTTATTCCCTGTCCCTTCTCCCCCGTTCTCCGCCCCCCTCCCCACTGATAACCCTCCATGTGATCTCTGTTTCTGTGCTTCTGTTCCTGTTCTGCTTGTTGACTCCTTGTCTTACTAGCATGGAGCCTGTGGCAGAAGAGGCTCCTATAAATTGTGTGGGGCGGAGCCTTAGGTACTGGCCAGGGCGGGGCAACCGCTTCCCCACTTTGTGGCTCTGTGTCGGGGGAGGGCCCGGAGAGGGGACGGTGCTGCGGCCTGGCTTCTGGAAGTTTGCCCGGCACTCGTCCTGTTGGCAGTCACTTCCCCCCCTCCACCGCCCGCAGCCATGCAACTGGTGCCCTTCAAGCTGCTGCCCTGGTGCTGAATACAAGTGCGTGGGTTCGCGTAATTCTAAGACCACGCAGGCCCTTTAAGTGGAATCTCCTGAAAATCCAACAGTTTCTTGTGCCACCCCAACCCCCACTGGTTTTTACAGCCAGCAGAAGTCATGGGGACTTCTCTTCCCTGCACTGGAACCGGGGCTGTGTGGTGTGGCCTGGGGCTGGGATCCCTGCTCCCAAGGCGGGTTTCACCCACCACGGGTGAATGTGGGACCGCCCATGCCGCCGTTTCCGCTTCCCACCACGGCATCTCCCCCTCCACCCATTGCCGCATCTCCCCTCTCCAACCTGACGGATGAATGTGGCTTCTTTAAGTCCCTGGCTGCTGGACGTCCATACAGTTCGATTTTCTGACCGTTCTGGTGTTGTCTGTCTGTTTCGAGGTTCAGCTGTCGTTCTCTCTGGAGTTGCACGAGGAGGTGAAGCGTGCCTACCTGTGAGCCTCCATCTTGACCGAAGTCCCCAGAAAGCATTTTAGTCAGAATAGCCTTCAGGACTGCCACAGAGGTCTCCAGGTATCCCCATACGTGCCTGAAACCCAGAGAAAACCCCACAAGGGGGCACAGATAGTCTTCCAGAATGGATGCGGAACCTGGAGGTATGAGTTGACCACTGATGGTTAGGTCAGGTCTTACTCCAACCTGCGAGAACTGTTATGGGCAGCAGGTGAATCATTGGTCCTGGTGGTGAACATCCACACCCTCTGCCATGGCCTCACGGTGGTCAAGATCGGCTTTCCCCCTCCATTTTCGATTGGGCCTTGTGGCTTTAGTCGCTGCTGGTGGCCGTGACGGGAGCAGAGGCTTGAAGTGTGCTCCTGTGAAGGCGTTTGGGCTTGTCCTCTCACACTGTGGGGACCCGCCTCCCTGGGACAACTTCGGCCCAGGCCCCAGTGGGGACACGCGGACAGAGCGGCCCGTAGCCCTGCAGCCTGAGCGGATCGGCCCCGACCGGACGACTCCCCACCCCCTGTGCCTGGACGAGAGAGAAATGTTCGCTGCTGCAAACTTCTGAGCTTCCGGGCTAGGCCGTCCTACGGCGTGACTGTGTCGGCATGTAATGAATGCTCACTCCAAGCGACTCTTTCCTGTCCTCCTAGCAACGCCCGGCACAGACCTACAGACCCAGGCGGTGTTTGGGGCTCTGGGAGATGGTGCCTCGGGTTGGGCCCTCCAGGAAGCAGAGGCTGAGGTGCAGTTGAGCACGTGAGGCATATTAAAGAACAGCCCTGCCTGACCCGGCTCAGTGGAATGAGCACCAGCCTGTGAACCAAAGGGTCGTCAGTTTGATTCCCAGCCAGGGCACAGGCCTGGTTGCGGACCAGGTCCCCAGTGGGCGGTGTGGGAGAGAAAGCCCCACACTGATGCTCCTTTCCCTCTTTTCTCCCTCCCTTGTAAAAATAAATAAATAAAATCTTAAAGAAGAAAAGAAACTAGAAATTGTTATAATAAAAAGTCCATTATTTAACTTTTTCACCATTTTTATACCTCTACTAACTTTTAAGTATTATTTGAGGCAACTTAATAGTAAAAGGAAAACCATCAAAGCATTAACCATGCCCCCCCCACTGGTGACAGGCTGTGCTCCCGTCTCACAGGCCAGAACTGGGTCACATGACCCTCTGCCCAGGGCCTGGGGGAGCCAAGACCTGTCCGTTCAGCTTCCCAGGCTCGTGGCAGGCCGTGCGGGGGAGGCTGTGCAGGGGAGGCTGAGGGAGCGGCCGAGGAGACGACCAAGAGTGTGGGTGCTGAGCACAGCAGCGTGCAGCAGCCCTTGGCTCTTTCCTCACAGGACCCAGGGCTCCTGCTCAGCATCAGGGAAGGTTCCATCTCTTCCGTGTGCAAGACACTGGGCTCTGCCCAGGAGAGGAAGTTCATGATTCCTCCGAGGCCCCCCCGCCCAAATTCCTGCAGACACTGAAGGACGCTCCGTGTGACACTCACATCTCCGGTTCTCAGCAGCCTGAGGACAAAGGCATCATCGGCCCCAGAGCCAAACCAGGAGGTGCAGGGCGGGGGGAGCTTGGCTTCCCTTGTAACTCCTGAAAGCTTCTCCCTGCCCCTCTCTTCTCCGGGATTCTCCCTGGTGGCCTCAGCAGCCCCAGACCCTCATCCTAACCTTGAATCTGAACAGGAAAGGAAGCTGTTCCCCACCAGGGAAGAACTCTGATTGGTCCCTGTCCTGAACAGGAGGCAGCAATGCACCCCACGGGGGCAGGCGCTCCACCTGTGCGGGGGGGGGGGGGGGGGGGAGGGGGTGTGTGAAGGGCTCTTGGTCAGCCCACAAGGAAATAAGGGTACTGACACTGTAGGGGGGAGCCAGGGCTGGGTCCACGCTGGTGGGTGACCATCCTCCAGGTTGCTGGCCCTCGGAGGCCTCCTTCCCCTGCTGCCTCACCACTGCCGCTGAAACCCGAGGGCCTGGGGGGCTGGAGGGCCCACGTGCCCCAGCTACTGCAGAGGTGGACACACGGCACCCGGCAGGCTCCCGGCCGAGCGGGGCTCTGTCCTCACAGCTCTGCGAGCCCCGGCTGAGGCACTACTGACCGCAGAGGGACCTGGCTCCCCGGGGAGTGTGCTCAGCCCGGGCAGCTCGCACCCACCCAGCCTCGATGAACTGCTCTGTGGGCCCTTGCACAGGCCTGCCTTCCCCCAAGATGTGCCCCATGGACCCCAGCCTCACTGAGATCCAGCCCTCCTGGCCCAGGACTCGTCCTGGTACCCGCCACACGCCTGCACACACACACACTTTTCCATTGAAAAGTGTGCCTCCTTCTGCTCTCCTACAGAGTCAGTTTCAGTGAAAGGCTAGAAGCTTTGCACGAACGCGTCAGGGTGAGACATGGAGGATGCAGCTCGCGTAATTATCTCTTTCCTGACTGTTCAGAAGGAAGGAGACCGTGGAATCCTCGGCATCGAAGCCATTTCACAGAGGGAGGCCCCAAGCACAACCCACCAACTGGCCACCAGATGGCGCCAATGGTTTGTCACTGCCTTTGGGCTGAAGGGTTCTGACCTGCACCTCCACAACTGGAGGTTCCGGCCAAGGCCCCTGTCTGTGTAGTGTGCCTGGTGTCCCCGTGCCTGGATGGCCTTTCTCTGGGTGCTCCAGTTTCCTCCCTCATCACAGAGCCCGGCTCGGGAGTGTATTGTCTACACTGTTCAGTGTGAGTGTGCACGTGTGTGCTAGTGGCCCTGCTCGGGGAGGGTGTCCGTCCAGGGTGATCCTCCCCAGCACCCTGAGCAGCTGGGAGAGGCTCCGGCTGCCTGGGGCCCAAACTGGAATCAGCAGGCTAGAAAATCATCTTGTTTTTATTCGTCTTTCTTAGATGTCTGTGTAGCTCACGTTTATTTCAATGTTGAATATTAGAAACGTTTCAGGTCTTCACCCAGAAGTTTGATGATATTTCTGTGACCAGAAATGGGCTGTCGGAACTCAACCCTTGTTCGCGTCAACTAGCCTAGGGTAACACTGCCTCGTTGTACTGTGTCGTTTCGCTTCCTGTCGCGCCTTCCAAGGACCTATTGCCTGTGTCAGGTGAAGGCTTTCTGTACTCAGTTATTCATCCCCAGGTACATGGGTGGCCGAATGTGCCAGGGCTGAGCCGGGCCTGGGCCAGAGAGGCGAGAGAGACGAAGTCTAATTTCAGGTGGGCCCCTGGGCTGGGAGCTACGGAGGAGGCATCCAGTGAGTGTGTCCTCAGGAGGCGATGCCAAGCTGAGAGGAGCTCGGCAGACAGGGGTCAACCTGCAGAAGAGGTGACAGGGTTGGAGGTGGAGCAAGCCCCCAGCCTGAAGGTCAGTCCAGCCGGGCTCATGCTGCCTGTCACCACCCAGCCAAAAAAGCACAGACAGGGATTGGATTATAAGTGCACACCTAACAATGATATAAAAACACTACCACTCTCCTTCCCCGAAGTGTGTCAGGAGCAAGGTTCCCAGGGGAAGCCCTGGGCTGGAGTGTGTGTGGGCGTGGGAGGGGGCAGAGGGGGTCCTGGCCACAGGCAGTCTTTGGAGCCCCAGTCCCTGAGGGAGTTCCGATCTTGGTGAAGATCTGTGTCACTGATTTCGGGAACAGGAAGGCCTGCATTCTGATGAGGTGGGCAGGCAGGCTGACATTGTCCGGTCGTCTGCTGTTCCTGGGTCGCAATGGATCGGGCTCCACATTCCTGGTGACCAGGCATGTGGCATCGGAGCTGGATTAAAAGTCCCTTCGTTCCTTCCTGGGCAACTGACTGCAACAAAATCTCAGCCAGAACCTAAGATTAAACATACCCATTTGATTAATTTGTTACACATTCTACTAGTAATCACATAAGCTATAATGGAGAAGAAGAAAAAGGGAAAGAATTTTTTTTGGGGGGGGGAAAGAATTTTTATGTTTTTTTATTTAATTATTGTTCAAGTACAGATTTCTGTCCTTTACTCCCATCCCAGCACCCCCCCCCCGTGCTCTCCACCTCCCTCCCATTTCCACCCCCCTTACTTGTTGTCCATGTGTCCTTTATACTATTCCTTTAAGAAATTTTATTTTGTATTCCACTCCTGACGCGCCTCTCGGCTCCAAGCACATTCAGGGAGCAGCTGGGAGTGGACAGGGAAGGGTTGCGGAGCTGGTGGGGCCACACGGAGTCCTAGCCCTGCCTCAGTCCTCCTCGCAGTGAAGGGCTGGCTGCAGGGCGTGGTGCGAACGCTCCCGAGGGCTGCCCTGCAGGTAGCCAGGTAGCCAGGTGGCCAGCCATTCCATTCCTGCCGCCTGGGGTGGGGGTGGGGCTGAGAGAACAGACCAGGAAACAATGTCGCCTATTCTTGGTGGGAGATCCCACCCCATCCCCCACCCCCTCTTCCTCCCTTTCCTTCCTCCCTCCCTGTGGATTTCTCTGCTAGATTCTTAAATTCCAGACCATCGGGTTGGGGCCGGCAGGGTGCCCCCTCCTCAGGATAGTCTGGGGGTCCACAGCCAGTGTCCCAGATCTGAGAGCGCCCAGGCCTGCGTGCAGATGGGAGCATGAGGCTGGACCAACTCGGGGCCCAGGGGAAGGAGGAGCTCGGCAGCTGGGCTTTCCCGGCCTTCCCCCCTCGAGAGGGACTGCCGGTTCGGTGTCCCCGGAGCCCTGGCATGTGTGTGCCAGGAAGGGGGCAGATGAGAACAGGAATATAGAATGAATAGATCCGGTGACAGCCTCCGGAAGGTGGCCATGATGACGGGCAGAGGGCCTGAGCATGAATAGACAGGACGCTTTAAAGGGAAAAACCCACCAGACTGGGCAGCTGTCAGAATGTGGAGGTCGAAGGATGAGTCAGCCGACTCAGAGGTTTGAAGGTGAATTCAAGGGGAAACAAGGGGCTTCCGGAAAAGCCCGGCTGCGCCGCTGGTTCCTGCGGGACTGAAGAACCACCCCAACTGGCCTCACTGCTTGTTCGCACTTGTAAAGACCTGGCCCTCCCCCCACCATCCTGAGGGCGCCGCCTGAGCTGCCTCCCACTGGGTGGGGGAGGGGCTCCGTGCACAGCAGTCCCTGCCTGAGCCAGAGCAGGGCGGGAGACCCAGGTGGGGCTTCTTCTGCAAGAGACTGGGGGGGGGGGTGCGGGGAGGGAGCGCCCCAACACCCCTCAGCCCCCACACTGCATCCCCCTCCAAGGCCAGCCTCCGGTCCCCAGCCCCTCTCCCTCCTGGCTCCCAGCTCTTGGTCTTTCCAGAGATGCTGTCCTTGGGCCACCATGAACCTGTCCAAGCATGAGCAGGTCCCTTCCTTCCCCTCCAGCCCTGCCACCAGTCCTTGCTAGCAACCCCGACACCTCTTTCCTGGACACTCATGTACTCGGATGCTCCACAGACATCTGGGCCCCACACAGATGACAGAACCGGTCACCTGCTACCCCAGGGTGGCCACAGCCCCCCCCCCCCAAAGGGCACCTGGATCCAGAGCCTGTGCCTCATGTCCCAGCTTAATGGAGGGACACCAAAGGTCTCCAACAGAGGAGGAAAATGGTCAGCTTCCCCTGACAACAATATCACTTAAGGGCAAGTTCAGCAAAGAATTAGGAGCTAATTCTGCAGGACCCGGAAATGAGTTAGAAATACCGAGCTGTGCCCTGGCTGGTGTGGCCTAGTGGACTGAATGCCGGCCTGCAAACGGTAAGGTCGCTGGTTTGATCCCCAGTCAGGGCACATGCTTGGGTTGCCAGCCAGGTCCCTGGTTGGGGGGCGGGTGAAAAGCAAGCAATTGATGTTTCCCTCTCTTCCCCCCTCCTTTCTCCTCTCCCTAAAAATAAACGAAATCCTATGGGGAAAAAAAGAAAAACACTGAGTTGAGGAAGCTGGGTAGAAAAGGAGGTGGGGTGGGAGTGGACCAGTGGGAGCTGGAGAGCTCAGTGACTCGGCTGAGCCCAGGGGTTCATGCTGGGAAGGAGGTACCGAGTCCTGAGAACCTTTTCACATGAGGGGGCCTGGCCGGGGCCTGGCGGGCATGGGAGGTGGGGGGTCGGTAGAAGTCCCAGTCAGTAGGGGCACAGGCCTGGGTTGCTCGTTCTATCGCCTGTTGGGGCGCACAGGAGGCAACTAATTGATGTTTTCCTTCCCCTCCCCCTTCCTTTAAAATCAATAAACATATCCTCAGGTGAGGATTTAAGAAGGAAAAAAGGAGAGGAACAGGAAACGGCACGGAACTGAGCCCCCCGGCTAAGGAGCCCTGTTTCTCCTGGAGGTTGTCGGTTGTCAGCCAGGGTTTTGAACGGGGTCTGTGTTCTCAAAGGGCAGCCTGGCCCTAGGGTGGAGACAAGGCTGAGAAGAGGCAAGGAGCAGTGAGGTGGCTCACGTGGGCAGTGGTGAGGGACTGAGGGAGGTGGGTGGGGACAGCAGGGAAGGCTGGAATTCCAGGGCTATGTGGAGACCATAAATGGCAGGACTCACCCAGATCCCCTGCAGGGATGCCTGGGGTTCTAGAAGATGGTGGGCTCACCTCCGGGGTAGGGAGCCCTGGAAGGCGGCCAGGTGGGGCTGGACGGGGAGGGTGGCCTTGCATCCAGGTGTGGCCTGGCCCTTTCCCTGACACATCTGCACACAGGTCCTGTTCCGGCAGCTCAGGCCACAGGCCAGGGAGAGGAGACCAGTACGCAGAGAAGACCGACAGAGCCTCCATTTGGCAGAAGGGGGGGGCGTTACTGAGGCCCTAAAGAGAGCAGGGTGGTTCCCCGAGGGTTCAGAGGGCAGGCCTGAAACCACCCTCGGGTTTAGTAACCGAGGCATGGGTGGGTCTGCAAGGTGGGCGGGACAATAAAGTAGGGGCTTGCTGGGAGACACAGGTGCCGGGGTGCCCGGGGGGACGGCTCATCTTGAACCTCCCGGGCCGCTGCAGAAACGAGGCGGAAAGGACACAGCGGGCCAGGCCTCTAGGCCAGGAGAGCGACAGGACAGCTGGTGGCGCCAGCCTCCGCCGCCAGGAGGGGATCTTTCACCGCCAGCAGGGGGGACAGGAAACCTGCAGTTTCAACGGCCCCTCCTTCCTCTTCCTCCCCCCTAGAGCCGGGTTTTCCTCTGGGAAAACCCGGGCTGAGCACCTCGGACTCTGTTGGGGACGGAAACACACTCTCCAACGTGCCCCGCAAACGCCTGACAACCCAGCACGTGGGCGCTGGGCTCCATCCCATGTGTCCGGTTTTAAAGGGAGTCAGGTCGCCCCGCGCCGATGTCTCACTCTCCCAACGGGTCACACGTCCCAGTTGGAGAATCCCGTTCTTGGAGAAGCTGGGTTACCCTGGAGATAAGCCAGGGAGGGACGTTCAGTCAATTTGTTTACATCCCAAGGCTCTTCTAGATTGTTCCCAAAGGCCCGGGGCCTGAGGGGGCAGCCCGCAATAGGAGGAGCTAGAGACAAAGGAGCCCGGGGTGGGGGACGACCCCTGGAAGGCTCTGGAAGGGGCTCGGGCGGGGTGGGGGCGCTCGGGTCCCCACACTGGGACACCGGGTTGTGGAGCTGCGGAACCGGTCGAGTCTAAAGCCCCCCTCCCCGTCTGACACTTGTCACCTGGTGTGGTTCAGAGCGCTCGCCAGGTTCCCCTTTAAGAAACTGGCTCTTGGCGCAAGTTAATCGCCCCAGCCGCGAATTACGTACTTGACGTGGGTACCTTACATTAGGCAAAATAAGTAAAAAAGACGGCTTTATCTCGATGTACCTGGGGGTGCAAATGCCGGAATTTCAGCCTAAGGGGCCCCGAAGTGTGAAGGACGTGGCTTTAGACACACCTAGAGGTTGCCATCGGTCTGGAGAATTCGGGACAGGGCACTCGCCACGGGGAACGTCTCCTGCGCACAGTGGGGCGTCCGCACAGGGACGCCTGCGACCGCGGACTGCGGGGGGCGGGGCGGGCCCTCGCCCGACCTCCGGCGCCTCTCCAGGCGCCAGGATCCCCTTCTAGTGACGGCGGAAACCCGGGGTCTGGCGGTCTCCCGGTCGCCCCCTCACGGGCCGGCCCGGTACAGCAGGCTCACGCAGGCAAGTGCCGCCCGAATTCCAGGGACCTGTACCCACAGCCCGGCCCGAAGAGATGCCGTCCTGTCCTCCAACCCCAGGGCTGGACTCCACGTGGCTGCCCCGTTCCCCGAGCCCCAAAACGTGGCCAGAACCTCTACTCACTGCCCCTCACCCCTACCCACGGTCTCAAGGCCCTGAACTTGGCAGGGGCCCCAGACGCCGGACACCCGAGTTCTGAGGCTGCGAGCGACGCCAATAGGAATGTGAGGGTCCCCCTCCACTTAATTCAGGAGCGGCCCCACCTTGGGGGCGCTCCCACAACTAAAAGTTCAGTCTGCGAATTTCACCGGAGTGCGGGCCCCGCAGGGCGGTGAAAGGGGATTAGAGCGCTGTCTACCCGCGCGTCGAACCGGGGGCGCAGCAGTGGAGCGCGGGACGGAGGGACCTCCGCCCGAAGGATGAGGCGGCGGTCGAAAGTACTGCACCTTCCCGAGACTTCCAGGCCGCGCAGGCGCGCTCAGGCGGCGGTTGGGGGAGGCGCGGGCGGCGGCCAGTGCGCAGGCGCAGGCGCGCGGCCGCGGCGGCGGTTGGGGAGGGTTCTTCCGGAAGGTTCAGGAGCCTTCTGGAAAAGGCGTCGCGCGCGCAGGGCGGGCCCGCGTCTATATAAGGGAGGAGCGGGCGCTGCGCGCCAGTTGCTTCTGCGTCGTCCTGCTGCGGTGTTCTTGCGGAGTCTGTGCGGTTCACTAGCCAAGGTGAGGGGGCGGTTGTGGGTCGGGGGCGCGGGGAACAGGGAATTCAGAGGGTGGGCGGTGTTTGTAGAGCGGTGGGCGTTAGTAGGGCGGCGGGGACTCTGGGCCCGCTGGCGTTGGGGCGGCCGCGGTCCGCCGGGAGGCCTCGGGCCTGCTGTGGGCCCACCTCCCCCACCCGCTTCGGGCCTTCCCGCGCGGTTGGCAAGCGGTGTGGGGCCCACCAGGAAGCGGGGCCGCCCCGGGCCCGGTGGGGACGCCGGTCGGAGCAGCAGCGAGGCAGCACGCACTGCCTGTTGGGGACTGGCTCGGGCGGCCTCGGGGCGCGCTCCCGACCGCCGCGCGGACGCAGGAATGAGGTCATCGCTTTGTCGGCGGCTTTTGGTGGATTTGGCTGCAGCTTAAACGGGGTTTTAGGAGTTCAGGGGGCCGCGCCGCGGGGGTCCCAATTGCTCGTGTCGCTGCAGATGCCGGAAGAAGCCCAGAACCACGACCAGCCCATGGAGGAGGAGGAGGTGGAGACGTTCGCCTTCCAGGCGGAGATCGCGCAGCTTATGTCGTTGATCATCAACACGTTCTACTCGAACAAGGAGATTTTCTTGCGGGAACTCATTTCTAATTCGTCCGACGTAAGTGTCCCACTTACCCCGTCGGCTTTTGGTTTCACATTCCCTGATCCTCCCAGGGGCACTCGGGCCTGATTGTGTGCGTTTTGCTAGGCCCTGGATAAGATCAGATATGAGAGCCTGACAGACCCCAGCAAGCTGGATTCCGGGAAAGAGCTGCACATCAACCTCATTCCCAACAAGCAAGAGCGCACCCTCACCATTGTGGACACGGGGATCGGGATGACCAAGGCCGACCTGATAAACAACCTGGGTACTATCGCCAAGTCCGGGACCAAGGCGTTCATGGAAGCTTTGCAGGCCGGCGCAGATATCTCCATGATCGGCCAGTTTGGTGTCGGGTTCTACTCGGCCTATCTGGTTGCTGAGAAGGTGACCGTGATCACCAAACATAACGATGACGAGCAGTACGCCTGGGAGTCTTCTGCGGGGGGCTCCTTCACAGTTCGGACCGACACAGGTGGGCATTTGGTGCGGAGGTGGGGCGCGTGGGCTCTGGACCCGTGTGGGGGGGGCTGTGAGGTCCCGTTGGAGTTCAGACAGGAGCTGGTGAGGAGTGATAGTGTGTAACCGCCTGACCTCGTGGTTTATCTCGGGGAGGCTGGGCGGTAACAGTGAGCCCTGTGGTGCAGACTGGCTTGAAAAGTGCTAGGTGTGGCGTGGAGACCTGAGGGAATTGTAGGGGTCTTTTTTTCCTTTCCGGGTGTGTTTTTTCTTTATTTGTTGTTGTTTTAGAAGAATGGGCAACGTGAATTGGGTTGCCTCTTCTCACAGGCCCCCCACCTGGGGATCTGGCCCCCAACTGAGACATGTGTCTTAATGGGGAATCAAACCAGTGATGTCTTGGTTCACAGGCCAGCACTTAATTCACTGAGCCACACCAGTAACTTTTTTTACCTTGATTTGGTCGTTGAGATTGAAATTGAACTGGTTTTCATTCTCTTTTTCAGGGGAGCCCATGGGACGCGGAACAAAGGTCATCCTGCACCTGAAAGAGGACCAGACCGAGTACTTGGAAGAGAGGAGAATAAAGGAGATCGTGAAGAAACACTCGCAGTTCATCGGCTACCCCATTACTCTCTTTGTAAGTGTCTGTGCAGCGTGTACGCAGACCAGGAAAGAGACCGGGCCACCCCTGAGTCTAAAAGGTCTGGTGAGGGGGCAGGGCCCTGGCTGCTGGCGTCACTGGCCCCTCGGAGGTCGGTGCTCACTGTCCCCATGGCCAGGGCCGAGTTCGCTGAACGCGTCGTGTCGATGAGAGGTTTCTTGGTTAACGTTTGTGGGCTACTTCGAAATTGCTGTAAAGTTTTCAGTGCTCTGGTTTATTTTCTTGTTGTAAAATGAGGTTTTTGTCTTTGCAGGTGGAGAAAGAACGTGATAAAGAAGTCAGTGACGACGAAGCGGAGGAAAAGGAGGAGAAGGAAGAGGAGAAGGAGAAGGAAGAGAAGGAGTCTGATGACAAGCCGGAAATCGAAGACGTCGGCTCTGATGAAGAGGAGGAGGAAAAGAAGGATGGCGACAAGAAGAAGAAGAAGAAGATCAAGGAGAAGTACATCGATCGAGAAGAGCTGAACAAAACCAAGCCAATTTGGACCAGAAACCCTGACGACATCACTAACGAAGAGTACGGGGAATTCTACAAGAGCCTGACTAACGACTGGGAGGACCACTTGGCTGTGAAGGTGAGTGGCCGCCAGGGGCTTCTAGGCCAGCCTGCACTTGCTGACCCGCTGACTCTGACTTAGCGTGTGTGTTTCATTCCAGCATTTTTCAGTTGAGGGACAGTTGGAGTTCAGAGCCCTGCTCTTTGTGCCGAGGCGTGCTCCCTTTGACCTGTTTGAAAACAGGAAGAAAAAGAACAACATCAAGTTGTACGTCCGCAGGGTCTTCATCATGGACAACTGTGAGGAGCTGATCCCTGAGTACCTGAGTAAGTGGGATCAGGTGTGGAGAATGGCCACTGCCGCTGGGGCTGTTAACGCCGTCAGCCTCAGGTGGTTAAAGCCCGTGGGGAGGGGCTGCCCGTCTTGGGGGGTTCGTGTTTGAGTGCTCTTGGTCCTTGGAGTGACGTTGGTCTGTCTTTCAGACTTCATTAGAGGTGTGGTGGACTCCGAGGATCTCCCTCTAAATATTTCCCGAGAGATGTTGCAGCAAAGCAAAATCTTGAAAGTTATCAGAAAGAATTTGGTCAAGAAATGCCTAGAACTCTTCACCGAACTGGCAGAAGACAAGGAGAACTACAAGAAGTTCTACGAGCAGTTCTCCAAGAACATCAAGGTTGGCACAGATGCTGGAGCGTGGGTGGCAGTGATGAGACTTCTCAAACTGGTAAGTTTTCCTAATGCAGAAAAAGTCTAAAGCCAGTGTTGTCTTGCAGCTTGGGATACACGAAGACTCTCAGAACCGGAAGAAGCTCTCGGAGCTGTTGAGATACTACACGTCCGCTTCTGGTGACGAGATGGTCTCCCTCAAGGACTACTGCACGAGGATGAAGGAGAACCAGAAGCACATCTACTACATTACAGGTGCTGGCTGGGGGGGGGCTCCTGTCATTTTTCCATCCATGCGGTTCGGCATGCACGGGCGGTGTCGGCCTGGGCAAGGGCATTGGTGTCTGTGCTGGTGGGATCTGGCCGAACAGGGAGTGAAAGCCCTTCCTGTAGGAAGTCTACAGGTAACTCTTCAACTCCAGGTGAGACCAAGGACCAGGTGGCTAACTCAGCCTTTGTGGAGCGCCTGCGGAAGCACGGCCTGGAGGTGATCTACATGATTGAGCCCATCGACGAGTACTGTGTGCAGCAGCTGAAGGAGTTTGAGGGGAAGACACTGGTGTCCGTCACCAAAGAGGGCCTGGAGCTTCCAGAGGATGAAGAGGAGAAGAAGAAACAGGAAGAGAAGAGGACCAAGTTCGAAAACCTCTGCAAAATCATGAAGGACATCTTGGAGAAAAAAGTAGAAAAGGTGCGTGTTTTCTTCTACCCGAATCTCCTAGTTTTGGACACTGAGAAGCAGCGTAAGGTTTTCAAAGTTGAGGCCACATGTGGTTCCTCCCTCATTGAGTTCCCCTCGTTAGTGATGAAAACCACCTGTCTCTGCTCAGAGACGGGTGTGGCTCCTACGGCCTCAGACCTGAGCCGCACGGGAGGGTGCGGAGCAGAGGCTTGGGGCCCCCAGTTCGCAGGTGCATAGTGTTCCCGGTCCATCAGTACTTGGGCTCCTTATGCGTCGCCTCACAGTCAACGCTTTGACTACACACACAGGTGGTGGTGTCAAACCGACTGGTGACGTCCCCATGCTGCATCGTCACGAGCACGTATGGTTGGACGGCAAACATGGAAAGGATCATGAAGGCGCAGGCCCTGAGGGACAACTCGACGATGGGCTACATGGCGGCAAAGAAGCACCTGGAGATCAACCCGGACCACTCCATCATCGAGACCCTGCGGCAGAAGGCGGAGGCCGACAAGAACGACAAGTCAGTGAAGGACCTGGTCATCCTGCTGTACGAGACGGCGCTGCTGTCCTCCGGCTTCAGCCTGGAGGACCCGCAGACGCACGCCAACAGGATCTACAGGATGATCAAGCTGGGCCTTGGTGAGTGCGCAGCCTCTGGCCAGAAGAGGGTCCCTCTTAGCTCTGGGAGCGCAGCTGGGGTCTCTCAAGCAGCTCAGGGTGTATTTCTCAGTCACACGTGGAAGGGGGTGGGGCGGGCCTCCCACTCTGCAAGCGCATAAATGCCAAAAGGCGGAGTGGAGACCAGGTACCTGTGTCTGCTGAGCCAGCAGGACTAGGCTGATGAGTGGGTCCCGCGGAAGCTGACTGGGGCTTCTGTCTCCACAAAGGCATCGACGAGGACGACCCCGCGGCGGACGAGAGCAGCGCCGCTGTGACGGAGGAGATGCCGCCCCTGGAGGGGGACGACGACACCTCGCGCATGGAGGAGGTGGACTAGGCCCGAGGTGGCCTGGCCTGCCCCGCCCACGTGTTCTGTTCTTTACCTTCATTCCTTTGGATGATATATTTTCAAGGACTGTTTTATTTTTGTTAACATTTAAAAACCCATACGGCATGACAGTAACTACTCACGGGAAGACAAGGCTTCTTTCCACTCGGTGTGATGCTGTTCCAGTGCGGACCCCAAGCAGAGCTAGTTCTCGTTCCACGTTAGTCTTGGTTTCACAGGACGCGGTTCTGTTCGCTGTGCAGTGTGTGTGGTCTTGACCGTCTCAGCTTCGTGGTCCTTGCTCTTTGGTTGTTGACATGTTGAGGTAAACAGCTTCTGTCCCCTAGGATCGACTCTGCACACCTGCTGTCCCCTGTAGTTGCCAGCTGCATGTACAGCCTCTAGACGTTAGTGAGCCACGTGGGCCGCACCGCGGGAGGGAGGGAGCACCTCTCCACAGGGCCGGTTTGTGCAGACGGTGCTGTGGCGCCGTCAGAAAGAGCTCAGAGTTTTGTGAATGGAAACGTAGTGCTCAACTCACGTTCTGCTTTAAAAGGTTGTGACAAATACACACAAGTTAAAAAGAAGTTGTGTGACGATGTCTTCTCCCACAGAAGTTGTGTGAAGTCTCCTCCCCAGGAGGCCATGGGGGTGAGGGGCTGTTGCCAGTGACAGGGTGGTCTCCGTGTGGAAGCCTGAGGGTCTCCCAGGGTGGTCTGCCTGGGAGAAGATTCAAGGGCAAAACTGGTGACTGGTAGAAGTGTTTTAATTTTTTTTCTTTAAGATTTTATTTATCTTCAGAGGGGAAGGGAGGGAGAGAAACATCAGTGTACGGTTGCCTCTCGTAGGTCCCCTGCTGGGAACTGGCCTGCATCCCAGGCGTGTGCCCCAACTTGGAGTTGAACCACGATCCTTTGATTCACAGGCCCATACTCAATCCACTGAGCTACACGAGCCAGTGCTTTTTTTTCCCTAGAGGGGAAGGGGGAGTAAGGAAAGGGAAACATCAGTGTGTGGTTGCTTCTCACACCCCCCCAACAGGGACCAAGCCTACACCCCAGGCCTGTCCTGTCTGGGAATTGAACCAGCGACTTTCAGTTCACAGGCCCACACTCAGTCCACGGAGTCACATCAGCAAGAGCTGCCAGATGGCGGGTGGGGGAGTCCCTGTGTCAGGTACTGCATTCCAGTCTGCAACACCTGTAGCTCTGGAATACCTTGGCCTCCGGAATGCCTCCAAGTTCTTCACCAAGTCCGCTCACTGCCCCAACTGCCCCCACCACTTGGTCCCCTTGGTGGCTTTTGTTGTTGAGCTGCAGACAGCACCCTCTGCAAAGGGTGGTGGCTGCCAGCTGAGCCGCAGGTGGGAGAGGAGGGTGAACATGGGGCGATGCTGGCGGCTGCCTTCACCCTTCACGGCTCCTTTTGCTGTACAGTTGACTTGAAACGTGGGGAACGGATCTCCAGGTTTTGGGTTCTGAGTCTAAGGCCACCTATGAAAGGGGCTGGTGACGCCAGAGGGAGCGTGGGCTCCCACGCCGGGGAAGGCCTGCTGTGCCTGGTTCTCGGTGGGGATCTATGGCCCGGTGCACACTTGACTGCACTGGCTTGCTCGCATCCCCAGAGCAGACGTGCTGAGGAATGGCTCCCATGGACACAGCAGTGTCCAAGTCCACGGGTACGGCGCCCATAGCATTTCTGCTGCTGTGCCCACTGGGGCTGCCAGCAGAGGAGTGGGGTGCACGGCTCCTGTGGGAGACGGGGATCCAAGGGCAACAGGGAGGTCTTGGAGGGGATGGGCAAATGGGGCCTCAGGAAACAACTTGTCGTCCCCCCCCCCCCCCCCAGTCACCAGAACAGTGTAGCACAAGGACCTGCAGGTGTCCCCAGGGCGCAGATGGGACCGCCCTGAAGGGGGCTGGCCCTGCCCAAGGGGTGAGACTCCCACCAGGTTTGCAACAACCGGGAGCCCCTCACCTGCTGCTGCTGCAAGGCCCAGTGCGGCCTCTTGTCTGTCCCTGTCGTCCGTGCCTTCCCATCGAGGTTGCAAGTTCCAGCAGAGCCCAGACAGCCTGGAGAAGAGAGTTCGTTCAGATCAGTGGGCGGTCTGGGCACCTGGTTAGGGAATAGACACATGAATTCCACAAAGATCAATATACAAAAATCCATTGAACTAGTTAGGGACAAGCAATCGTTCATTACATCTTTAAGATTTACAGTAGCATTAAATTTTACAAAAGGCTGCAGCACCTGGACAGAGCTAAGTTAGACACGTAGGGAGCTGGAGGTCCAGGCTGAGCCCCGAGAGTGCTCACATGCGGGTTCTCCAAGGCCTACATCAGGGAACCCATCTTCACCGGGGGCCACATCAGCCTGGCGGTAGGAACGAGGTGGAGGACCGGATTGGGCCTGCGGGCCTTACGCCGCCACCTGTGCTCCTACGTGAAAGGAGCCGGACTACCTTCATTTGCATAAAATGTTAGGAAGGGCAAAACCACATCAGAAAGGGGCTGAGTGGGTGGGGTTGATGCCAGGTTGGAGGGAACACTCACAAGTGCCCCAGCATCAGGTGGTTGTGCAGGTGTAAATATTTATAAAAGTCCATTGAACTTAAAATGGGTGAACTTAATGGTGTGCTGTCCCTAAATAGCAAAGAAGAAAAAATGAAGGAAGCAGTCCCCTGCCAGTCAGCAGTGTCTTGGAGTGAGCATTCCCGCTCTTGTCTGTCAGAGACAGACCCTCAAAGCTGGCTGCCATTTTCTAGGTAAGCAGCTTAGTGGTCCCAGCGTTAGCAAGTGTTCAAAACTGACAGCTATTACTTCCAAAGATGCAACTACTCAGGTGGGCCCTTTCCTGCCAGTTGTCCCATAAGGTCACCTTAGGTTGTACCACAGACAGTGTCCGGCTGTGTAGTGTCCTGCAAGTCCCAGTGTAAGCCACACCTCCTCCAGGAAGTCTCCCTGGACTACTCTCACCACCTCTCGTCCTCTGAACTTCCAGCTATCCCTAGTGGACGCCTACACATCAAGTTTTTATTGAACCCCTGCTAAGAACCAGACCATCCTGGCTGGTGTGGCTCAATGGACTGAGTGCCAGCCTGTGAACCGAAAGGTCGGTCGCTGGTTTGATTCCCAGTCAGGACACATGCCTGGGTTGCAGGCTGAGTCCCTAGTGGGGGGTGCATGACAGACAACCACATGTGGATGTTTCTTCTCCCTTCCTTCCCCTCTCTCTAAAAATAAATACAAATCTTAAAAAGCCAGCCAGTGCTGTGTGAAACTGGTGTCATGGGGGAAGGTGGGCAGAGGGACACAGCGATGGCAGCTACGGTGCAGGCCCTGAGCAGCCCAGTGGAGGTGTGAGGACAGCCAGGGGGGCAAGGTTTCAGGGAGCTCCTGGAAGGGGGTGACTGCTGGTGTGAAGCAGACCTCATCTCAACAAAGAGGGAGTGGGAGCCTCGCCGGGACCCTGCTGGAGAGCCCGGATGGGTGCCTGTCGGGCGGACTGAATGGCGAGAGAGCTGAGTCCGGACTGCGGGCTGCCCGGAGTGGGACAGCACAGTGGCAGCTCCCCTGGCCCGCGGCCAGTGCTGGTGGCCTCTTCAAAATAGTGGGGCAGCCCTGCCTGGTGTGGCTCAGTGGATTGAGTGCCGGCCTGCAAACCCAGGGGTGCTGGTTTGATTCCCAATCAGGGCAAGTGCCTGGGTTGCGGGCCAAATCCCCAGTAGGGGGCGCATGAGAGGCAACCACACATGGATGTTTCTGTTCCTCCTTTCCTTCCCCTCTCTCTAAAAATAAAGATTAAAATCTTTAAAGCCCTGGCTGGTGTGGCTCAGTGGATTGAGTGCTGGCCTGTTGCCAGTTCAACAGGGTTGCCGGTTCAATTCCAGTCAGGGCACATGCCTGGGTTGCAGGCCAAGCCCCTAGTTGGGGGCTTTCGAGAGGTGACCAGTAAATGTATCTCTCACACATCTATGTTTCTCTTCCTCTTTCTCCCCTCCTTTCCCTTCTCGCTAAAAAAATGTTTTTTTTAAATAATTTTATTTATTTTTCTAGACTTTATTTATCTTTAGAATGGAAGGGAAGGAGAGAGGGAGAGATATATCAATGTATGGTTGCTTCTCATGCGACCCCTGCTGGGAACTGGCCTGCAACCCAGGGATGTGCCCTGACTGGGAATCGAACCATGACCTTTTGGTTCGCAGGCCCGTGCTCAATCCACTGAGCTACACCAGCCAGGGCTAAAAAATGTTTTTTAAAAAATCTTAAAAAAAAAAATAGTGGGGCCTGTGCCCGCCCTGGAAAATGTCTTTGATGCCAGAAACAGAGGTGGTTTGGCAAGTCAGTGCCACCATAGCTTTGGGAGGCCCCTCCCTCCATCTCTCGCCCCTGGTGTCATCTCACGGGTAGGAAGCGGCATCTGGTTGACAGCCTGTCTGGGGGCAGATGGGTGCAGACTCGTGACTGGGTCTACTCGGCGGCCGCCCTGCCTCTCTGAGCTCTGGGTCGGCACTGGGTGGGTGTCAGGCTTGGCTCTGCTTCCAAAGGCAGGTCCTGGCCGGTCCTGGGTCTTGAGAACAGACCTCTGGGCCTCCCAAGCACTGGGATCGGTGACTGACATGCGGCACACACCCAAGTGTTTGTTCCTGAGTCAGCCTAAGCACACCCACGTCCAAACACTTTATCATGCAGTCTCTGATTTCTGCTTCTATCATTCTTTTATTCTGGAGGTTTCTGAACCCCCTCCGTCTCCCACAGGCCTCCTGAGGTTGGGGGTTCCAGGCCTCAGGCCGGTCACTCAGCCCCGAGGGGCCCTTCTCTCAGCCCTTTGTGCACTGCACCAGGCAACCCAGCCAGGCTGGTTCTCTGTGGGAAGATGTCTGAGGCAGACACTTTAACCCTTTCTGTGTGCAGTTCGGTGGTTTAACCACATTTAAAATGACGTGTGGCCTTTGGCAGTGTGTTCCCGGAACTGCTCTATACCCCGGAGATCCACCCCCCCCCCCCCCCCCGGCAAGAACTCGCCCGCCACAGCCTTCCCGCTGGTGGCCTCAGCATTCAGTCCTTTTCTTCAGAAAAACCCCTGGTGTCCTCTGCCACTCTTTGGGGGCATTTCCCACAAGTGTCCTGCAATGACAGAGTTTGCAGTCAGTCCTCCTGCCTCCCTGCTGCCTGTCCCCAGAAGCATGTGGCATTTGTCAGCTCCAGCCCGGTGCACCTGGTACACACTTATGGAGCTGAATGAAGAACTGGTGCAGACAACTGCCTTTGCCCCCGTCCTGTGGGGACGGCGATTTGTTCACATCATTTTGTAAAATACAGGAAGCTTTTGTTTCCTTTTCTAAGCCTCCGAGGTCTGCCCCAGCCTCTGAAAGCGGGACGACGGATTCTTCAGGAAGGAACACCACCTCGCCGCCCTGGGAGGAACGTTCCAGGAAGCGGGGCTTTTGGGGAGCCACGGGGTATTAACGGGGCCATTAGGATCCCAACGCGGAGTTCACGGTGACTCAGCTCACAGAGCCGCTCGTCTGCCCAGAGCGCCGGTCTGCCTGGACCGCACACGCCTCCCTTTGAAAGCACTTCAGGGCCTCAGCACTTGGCCAGTGAGTGTTCCAGAGCTGGGAGCGGATTCCAGATCAAGCACTGTCCATTCTTAAATTCCAGGTTGAAAACAAAAATCCTAACAAATCTGAAGGAGCAAGAATGGGGACTTCTGGCCAAGACGGAGGCGTAGGGAGACACACTGTGCCTCCTCCCACAACCCAAATAAGGACAACAATTTAGAAACAAAAAAAAAAACCTAACCAGAACTGACAGAAAATTGAACTGTATGGAAAAGTCCAACAACCAAGGAGCTGAAACAGACACAGTCACCCAGACCAGTAGGTGGAGCAGAGTCGGGGGTTGAGGCACAGGAAACGGTGACCCCAGGCAGACCCCAGGCGTGGGGTGGCAACGGGCAGACCCAGCGAGGTGGCGATTGAGAAGCGGGGCACCATGCGCAAGGTGGCTGGCTGACCAGGAAGCGGCCCCACATTCACACACAGAGAACTGGGGAGCAAGATGGACCGTGCAACCCAGGGTCCCCGTGCTGGGAAATGAAGCCTCAAAACACCGATAGAAAATATCTGTGGGAGTTGAGGTGCCAGGAGAGACTCCCAGCCTCACAGGAGAGTCTGTCGGGGAGACCCACAGGGTCCTAGAATGTGCAAAGGCCCACCCATGGGGGAATCAGCACCAGAAAGGTCCAGTTTGCTCGGGGAAAGCTGCAGAAGGGACAGAGAGCAGAGAAAGCACCACTGTTCCCTCTTAGACCCCTACCCCACACACAGCACCACAACCCAGCAACTGGGTTGTCCCACCCTGGTCAACACCTAAGGCTCCACCCCTCACTATGTAACAGGTGCGTCAAGTCAAAAAACAGTGGCTCAAGGTCCTGGCTGGTGTAGCTCAGTGGATTGAGCGCAGGCCTACAAACCAGATGATTACAGTTCAATTCCCAGTCAGGGCACATGCCTGGGTTGCAAGCCAGTTCCCTGCAGGCCAGTTCCCAGCAGGGGACACATGAGAGTCAAGCATACATTGATGTTTCTCTCCCTCTCTCCTTCCCCTCTAAAGATAAATAAATATTTTTTTAAAAAGTGGCTCAAATGGAAGAACAGATCAAAGCTCCAGAACAAATACAATAAGTAACGAACAGATAGCCAACCTATCAGATGCACAGTTCAAAACACTGGTTATCAGGATGCTCACAGAATTGGTTGAATTTGATCACAAATTAGATGAACAAATGAAGGCTACGCTAAGTGAAATGAAGGAAAATACACAGGAAACCAATAGTGATGGAAAGGATACTGGGACTCAAATCAAAGGAGTGGACCAGAAGGAAGAAAAAATGGCCAAACAGGAAAATATGAAGAAACAAGAATGAAAAAAAATGAGGAGAGACTTAGGAACCTCCAGGATATCTTTAAACGTTCTAACATCCGAATTATAGGGGTACCAGAAGGGGAAGAGGAACAGCCACGAGTGGAAACCTTATTTGAACAAATAATAAAAGAGAACTTCCCCATTCTGGCAAAGGAAATAGACTTCCAGGAAATCTAGGAAACTCGGAGAGTCCCAAAGAAGTTGGACCCAAGAAGGAACACACCAAGGCACATCATCATTACATTAGCCAAGGTTAAAATGAGAGAATCCTAGAAGCAGCATGAGATAAAGAGAAAGTTACCTACAAAGGAGTTCCCATCAGACTGTCAGCTGATTTCTCAAAAGAGACCTTATAGGCAAAAAGGGGCTGGAAAGAAGTATTCCAAGTCATGCAATCCAAAGACCTACATCCAAGATTGCTCTATCCAGCAAAGCTTTCATTTAGAATGGAAGGACAGATAAAGTGCTTCTCAGATAAGGTCAAATTCAAGGAGTTCATCATCACCAAGCCCTTATTATGTGAAATGTTAAAGGGACTTATCTTGAGGAACAAGTATGAAAGACACAGGGATGAGGACTGGGGGGGAGGAAATGGGAGGGAGGTGGGGAGCACGGGGCGGGGGGGGGCTGGGATAGGAGAAATAGACAAAAAACTGTACTTGAAAAATAACTAAATAAAAATTTTTTAAAAAGGGACTTATCTAAGAAAAAGAAGATAAAAAACACGTATAGTAAAATGACAGCAAACTCACAATTACTAACAGCCACACCTAAAATAAAAACAAACTAAGGAAACAACTAGAACAGGAACAGAACCACAGAAATGGAGATCACGTGGAGGGTTAGCAACAGGGGAGTGGGAGGAGGAGGGTGGGGAAAGGCACAAAGAATAAGTAGCATAGATGGCAGGCAGAAAATAGACAGGGGGAGGGCAAGAATAGTTTGGGAAATGTAAAAGCTAAAGAACTTAAGACAAGTGGACATGAACTAAACGGGAGAAAGTGGGAGGGAGAGGGTGTGCAGGGTGGAGGGGAATGAAGGGGGGAATTGGGACAACCATAATAGCATAATCAATAAAACATATTTTCAAAAAGAAGGAACAAGGGACAGACCAGCTTTCTGCTTGTTAAATGGTGGGGTGGATGGAACCAGAGCCCCCACAACACCCCCGCCTGCCCCAGCTTTTGAGGCATCTCCTGGATTGCATCGCCTGGCTTCCCCTGTGAGCACTTCACCTGTCCTCAGCCATCTTTGCGACTCAGACACACTCCAGGTACTCGGCACCAGGATTAAATGCCCGAGTCAGAACAAGACAGGATGCTCCTTCTAGCCAGTTCCGCTCAGCACGGCACTGGAGGTCTCGGAGCCAGGGCCATCCGTCAAGAGAAAGAAAGAGTCGACACCCTCACTCAGGAGGGGGCGGAACCATTTCTCTCTGTGCATGGCATGGTCTTGTAGGTAGAAAGCCACGGCTCTCACCACGCCTTTCCTCCCTCAGGCCTGCGTGTGGACTCGTCTCTCCCAAACTCTAAGGGTCCCCGAGAGACTTGCAACTGGGGGAGCAACAGGCAGTGGCGGCTTGTCCAGGGCTCACCCCCTGGTCCGTGTCCCAGGCCCCTCATGTCTCTGACTTCCCAGAGAGCTGGCAGCAGCCCGCCTGGGCTCACTTCCTCCCTGTAACGTTTCTGGGGAACCCAAGCAGCCCCTGCCTGGGCACTGCGGTTACTTCTTCTACCCCGGGCCCTTCCTCTGTTTCTGCGTCCCCGGCCTTAATGACCATACTCGCAAAATAAAAAAAAAATAGGAAGAAAATTGTAAGGACCCCCCCACCCCATTAGAACAGTTTCATCGAGGTTGCAGGACACAGGATCAGTATTCAAATTCAGCTGTATTTCTGTACAATGACAGTGAATAATCCCAAAACAAAACTAACAGTTCTATTTTTATAGTGCAATTTTGTTTATTGATTTTTAGAGAGAAAGAGAGGATGGGGGAGGGAGAGAAAGAAAAACATTGATCTGTTGTTCCACTTATTTATGCATTTCCTGGTTGAGGTTTGTATGTGCCCTGACTGGGGATTGAACCTGCAACCTTGGTGCACTGACATGATGCTCTCACCACCGAAGCTACTCTGCCAGGGCAAAATCAGTTCTATTTTTACAATAGCATCAGACATACTTAAAAATAGCCCGGTCTGGGTGGCTCAGTTGGTTGGGACCTGGCCCTGTGTTGTGGGCTTGACCCCTGGTGAGGGCACATGCAAGAGGCAAATGATTTGTGTTTCTTTCTCATGTCCATGTCTTTCTCTCACTTCCTTCTTCTCTCTCTAAAATACATAAATATAGCCTCAGGCAGGGAATAAAAAAATACCCTTAGAAATAAATTTAACAACTTCCGCCAAGATGGAGGCATAGGTGGATGTGCCGTGCCTTCTCACACAACCAAGTTTAGAGACAACTAAATATTAGCAACAGAAAACACAGCCAGAACACAGACAATTAAACTTTTCGGAAGTCTGTTAACAACAAATTCTTCAGCCTGACCGGTAAGGGGCGAAACCAGCGGCTGGTGAAGCGGGGTTGCACAGGAGGACTCGGTCAGCCGGACTCAGGCGCGGAATCCAGGCGCAGGGTTGGACCTAGTGAGCGACCGAGCGAGCCACCAGGTGAGCGACCGCGGGGGAGACAGCGGGGGAGCGGTGCTGCGTGTTGACTGTGGTCGCGCATTTGTGCGCGGGTGGACAGGCGAGGGAGTGGGCGATTGGACCGGGGCCCGGGGGGTCCCCGCGGCAAGCGGCAGTGGAGGGCGCCGCCATTTCCCTGCTCTGACCCCACCTCCACATACGGCGTCATAACCCAGCGACTCTGAGTGGCCCGGCCCTGGTGAACCACCTGAGACGCTAATCCTCACCCAGCTGTGAGAAACAGCAGAGGGGGCCGCCATTTCCCCGCTCTGACCACGCCCCCACATACAGCATCACAACCCAGCAACCTGGGAATCCAAGGCTCCGCTCCTGGTACTTAACGGGCGCGAACAGAACACAAATGGCTCAAGAAGATCTCAAAGCCCCAGAGCCCATAGATCTAAGCGATGAAGAAATAGCAAAACTCTCAGACGCACAGTTTAAAACACTGGTCATCAGGATCCTCACAGAACTGGTTGATTATACCGACAAATTAGACAAATATATGAAGGCGAAACTAATTGAAATGAATGGAATTGCACAGGACACCAATAGCGATGAAAAGGAAACTGGGACTCAAATCAATGGAGTGGAACAGAAGAAAGCAAATAATGGCCAAACAGAAAAGAGTCAAGAAGCAAGAATTCAAAGAAATGAGGAGAGTCTTAGGAACCTCCAGGACATCTTTAAACGCTCCAACATCCGAATTATACGGGTACCAGAAGGGGGAAAGGCACAGCCACCAGTGGAAAACTTATTTGAACAAATAATAAAGGAGAATTTCCCCAATCTGGCAAAGGAAATAGACTTCCAAGAAATCCAGGAAGCTCAGAGAGTCCCAAAGAAGTTGGACCCAAGAAGGAATACACCAAGGCACATTATAATTACATTAGCCAAAATTAAAATGAAGGAGAGAATCCTAGAAGCAGCAAGAGCTAAGGGGACAGTCACCTACAAAGGAGTCCCCATCAGACTGTCAGTGGATTTCTCAAAAGAGACCTTACAGGCAAGAAGGGGCTGGAAAGAGGTATTCCAAGTCATGAAATCCAAAGATCTACAACCAAGATTGCTCTATCCAGCAAAACTTTCATTTAGAATGGAAGGACAGATAAGGTGCTTCTCAGATAAGATCAAATTCAAGGAGTTCATCATGACCAAACCCTTATTATATTAAATGTTAAAGGGACTTATCTAAGAAAAAGAAGTTAAAGAAACATGAACAGTGAAAGGACAACAAACTCACAGTTATTAACAACCACACCTAAAACAAAAGCAAACTAAAAGGACAGCTAGATCAGGAGTGGAAACATAGAAATGAAGATCTCAAGGAGGGTTAGCAACAGGGGAGTGGGAGGAGGAGAAGGGGGGAGAAGGTACAGAAAATAAGTAGCATAGACAGTAGATAGAAAATAGATGGGGGGGGCAAGAATAGTATGGGAAATATAGAATCTAAAGAACTTGAGACACATGGTCATAAACTAAAGGGGGGGAATGGTGGGGAGGGGGGTAGGGTGAAGGGGAATGAAGGGGGGAATAGAACAACTGTAACAGCATAATCAATAAAAAAATTAAAAAAATAAAATAAAATAAATAAAATCATTAAAAATAAAAAAATAAAAATAAAAAAAGAAATAAATTTAACAAAATAAATGTGTCACTCACATTCTGAAAACAAGAAAACCTGGTTCTAACGAGAAGCCCTATTAAAGGACAAGACACCCCACACTCCTGGACATAAAATTGTTCAGAGAGCAACACTCCCCAAGTTGATCCGCAGATTCAACACAATCCTCATGGAAATCCCGCCCCCCTGGCATTTTTTCCCCAGAAACTGACAAGCCGAATCTAAAATTCACATGGAAACTCTAGGGACCCAGAAGAGCCAAACAATCTTGTAAAGGGACAAAGTAGGAGGATCTACTCTTTCTGACTTCAAAACATTGCTTTAAAAATAGCTCAGTGGATTGAGCTCTGGCTGTGAATCAAAGGGTCAGGGGTTCAATACCCAGTCAGGGCACGTGCCTGGGTTGGGGGGAGCACGTGACAGGCAACCGCACATCGACGGTTCTCTTCCTCTTTCTCCCTCCCTTCCCCTCTCTCTAAAAATAAAAATCTTAAAAAATAATAACTGACTGACCAGCTGAGTTCATCATTAATTCAAATTTGTGGCAGTTGCGGAAGACTGGGACTGAAAGTGAGTGAGGAGGGGGATCCTAACTGCGATGTCCGCGGTCAAGGAGGGCTTCCCGGAGGGGGTGCCAAGCTAGGCCGCCAAGGGTAGTCAGGTAGGGGCGGGGTGAGGGTCCATGGCGGAGGAGTCGGAAGAGGTGGGCCAGGCGGCCGCCCGGGCCTCGGGAAAGGGCTCGGACGCCCCAGGCCTAGGAGAGGCCCTCGAGGTTTTATGGCAGCATTAGAGCCCGGAAAAGGCATCCCGGGTCACGCGTGGGGCACTGACCGCGGGCCCGGCAGGAGGATCTGCAGTTTTGGGAGGGCGACGCGAGCCGCGTTGCCGTGGAAACGCCTGTGACGTCACGCACGCAGGTCCCGCCAGACCTCGCTTCTGGCCTCGGGACGATCCCAGGGGCGCAGAATGGACGCGCCTTTCCGAAGGTGAGCGCAGGGAGTGCGACCCGGGCACCCGCATTCGGACGCGGCCTGCAGGTCCAGCCTCACCGGAGCAGACTCCCGTGGCCCCAGATTAGTGACGACACCCCTTCTCGGAGTCACCCTCACGCCCCAGTTCCTTGCCCCCGGGAGGTGGAATAGGGGCCGGGGAAACTTCGGCCCCGCCCCAATCTCGGGCAAGTGGGCGCCGCCGTTCAGGCCACCTGCGCCAGCCAGGTGGGCCCGCCTCGCGAGAAGCACTGCCTCCTGTGGCGGCCGTCCTCGCGGGGGCGGGGAAAGCGCTTGTTAAAGCCACGTGGGCGGGGATAGGAGAGGGGGTGTCTCCTGCAGAAAGAAGGGGCTCTGAGGCTGCACAGCCGAGCTCCTGCGTGGTCCCTGCCCCATAGGGGTGTAGACATTCCCCCTCAAGAGGGTAGGGGGTGTCCTTACACTTCGGGAAAACATCACCCCCCACTCCACTCTGTGAGGGGGGCCCTGCCATGCAGAGTGAAGATGGTCCCCCTCCCTCTGATGCTGAGGTCCTTGCTTGGGAGACCCTGGTGTGAGGTGGGGGGTGATGGGGTGATTTCCTCCAGGTACGAGGAGGGACAGGGAAAGGGTACCCCCAGGGCGGCAGTGGGAGGGTGGCCTGGGGGCACCCCAGGGACAGCACCCAGCCTGCGCGGGGGCAGTGTGGGCCCGCCCATTCCCCGGCCCCCAGGAGAATTCCAGGGCCCCCGGGACCAGCCTGCGGTTAACCGGCATCGGCCGGCACAGCTCCTCCGCGTTCCTCCGAAGTGTTACTTGAACCTGTGGTTTCCTTCAGGGCGCCCAGGTTTTCGGCGTCTCAGGGCCGCACTGGAAGAAGAGTTGTCTTGGGCCACACGTTAAATACATTTTGCAACATGTAACCCCCTCCAAAAAAATATCCTATTTTTAGTAAATTTACGATTTTGTGTTGGGGTGCGTTCACAGCTGTCCGCGGACCGCGGGTTGGACACCCCGGCTAAGCAAAACGAGAGAGACCCCGCGGCGCGTGCGCGCGGCCCCGCAGCCGGAAGGGCCCTCCCCCCGCGGGGGTGGAGCTGACTCCGCGGGGAGCCGGGCGCTCTGCACTGGCCGTTGCGCTCGGCTGCCGGGCTACACGGGGCGGGCCGCGTCCCAGCCGCTTTTTCCCTGTAAAGCTCCGTCCGCTTTGTCTTGAACATGAGTTGCAAGTGTTGACCTTTTTTCAGGTGGCCCAGGGACAGGAGATTGCGGAATGGGAAAAAAAAATCCACTGTCATTCCTTTTTAATTTGTTATATCAGAAAAATTGGGTGGGGAGCAAGGGGCGGGGGAGGCTGGGATGGGAGAAATAGACAAACTGTACTTGAAAAATAACTAAATTAAATTAATTTAAAAATTAAAAAATAAAAAATAATAATTAAAGAAAAAGAAAAATTGTACCAAAGAAGTGTGTCAAAATAACACCTAGTACCGTACGAAGGCTTTTCGCCTTAAATACTAACATGGGAAGAAAGGAGAAGGAAGCAGAGAAAAGATGGGCTTTGCGCACAAAATCCAGGCCGGACCGCTTCCCCCGGGGCGACCTCACCCCCCGACCTCCCCGCAGTGAGCCGGGCCGGGCGGTGGGGGCGGTTCCGGTCTAGGGCTCCGTCGGAGACGGAGTCGGTGCGCACGCGCTTCTCGTTGGAAAAGAGGCGCCGCACGCCGTCGTCTCCTCAGTCTTCCAGGCCTGCGGCTCTGCCCGCTGCGCGTGCGCTCCGCAGCCGGCTCTCTGGCTTCACGAGCCGCTGCCCCGAGTGACCGCGACTTCAGGTGGGAGCTGGCGTGTCCCCCCAAGGCCACTCCTGGGCATGAACACAGGAGCCGCCTTGCGCGCTCGGGGAGGACGGTCCCTCCTCGGCACCGAGGGGGCCGCTCTGTGGACTGTTGGAGGCAGGCATTTGGTCTGTAGTGTTTTTGACAATAGTTTTGCTATTTTCCTCTAATTAAACAGTCTGTTTACAAAGTGAACTTTTTAAAAGCTTCACTAGAAAAATGTGCCAAATGTTCACCTTTTAACAAATGTTAGATGCCCACTCCTGTCCTCCATTTGTTTTGCTTTTGGGCTTCTCATCCTTCTGCCTCACAATCACAGCTGTGTGAAGTTGGGGGCCAGGATGGACAAGGGGTGGGGCCATGATGGGCAGGGGTGGGGCCACGGTGGACAGGGGTGGGGCCATGAATGGGCAGGGGTGGGGCCAGGATGGACAAGGGGTGGGGCCAGGATGGACAAAGGGTGGGGCCATGATGGGCAAGGGGTGGGGCCAGGGTGGACGGGGTGGGCCAGGATAGGCAGGGGTGGGGCCAGGGTGGACAAGGGGCACAACAAAGGACTGGCAGGAGGTTGGTCATCTGCTCCCTAACTTTTCCATTTTAAAACTTCAGGTAATCAGGTTATGACTTGATACCTGTGAGGTCAGTCTAAGAAAAGGACTTTTTCTCAGGTGGGGGGAGGGCCCTGGGGATGTTTCTGGGTTTTGCTGTGTTAAAGCTCAAACATAAGGTCAGAAGACGATACCTTTTTTTTTCAATTTTTAAATTTATTTATCTTAGAGGGGAAGAGAAGGAGAGAAATATCAATGTATGGTTGCCTCTCATGCATCCCCTGTTAGGAACTGGCCTGCAACCCAGGCATGTGCCCTGACTGGGAATCGAACCGCAGTCATTTGATACGCAGGCTCGTGCTCAATCCACTGAGCTCCACCAGCCAGGGCAGACAACGATACCTTTAAAAACTGGACCTTTACCTCCACCCAGACTTTCTTTCCTTTTACTCTGTGTTTCCTACCAGTCGGGGTATTTCTCCCCACATATTGGACATAGTGTCACTTTAAGTGACTGGCATTCCGGTGACTAGAACTGAACTCAGGGTGATTCTGGTCCCGCTTGGCCTTTGCCGTGCTCGGGGCTTCCGTGCCGGACTCCAGCCCAGACTGGAGGGTCTCTCGCTCGTCACAGTGCAGACAGTGCCATGATCTGCTCTTGCTCCTTTGCAGTTCAAATGGAAAGGACGAATTCTTTAAGATCATGGCATTTTTCTCAGAGTTCCAGCCCCCGTACTTGACAGGGCGTCTTGCTCTCCCGAGGCTGCCCTGACGAACGGCCACCAGCTGGGTGTCCCCTGGTCTGGGGTCCTGAAGTGCAGGGGTTGGGGGTTCCCTCTGGGGACTTCGAGGGGCAGTCTGTTCCAGAGCTCTTCCCTGTGGGAAGAACCTACCAGAGACCCTAGAGAGGCTGTGCGTTGGGGTCCGGGAGTGTAGATCAGGGAGATGAAAACTGGGGTCACCAGCCCTGGCCGGTGTGGCTCAGTGGATGGGGCACCGGCCTGCAAACCAGTCACCCATCTGATCCCCAGTCAGGGCACAGGCCTGGGCTGCAGGCCAGGTCCCAGGAATGGGTGCATGAGAGGCAACCACACATCGATGTTTCTCTCCCTCCCTCATCTCTCTCTAAATATAAAATAAAATCTTTAAAAACAAACGGGCCACCAGAGGTAGTGGGTGGAGCCTTGAGGCCCCAGGATCCCTGAGTGCGGAGCATTGCTCAACCATGTGAGCGTCATGTTGGAAAGTTGCTTGGAGGTAGAGGTTTGGTGGCTCTTGGGCCGAGGTCGTGACCTCTGAACCCCTCATTAGGAACATTTCAAATTCAGGGCACGAGAGAATCGTTCTCCCAGCCTCTAGGACTGGCTACGCACTGCCGTCCGTGTCTTGCCCCTCACGCCTCCCTCACCAGCCTGTGTGCTCACCAGGAATTCCAGCTCCCGGGCTGTGGCTGAGCTGTCCTCTGGGGGGGCAGGGGGGTGTCAAGGACTCCCAGGGGGAGCAGGAAGGGAGGGCTGCCCGGGAAGAGGCCAAATGAGACACAGTTCAAGGCAGACGGGATCCTGGGAGCAGAAAGCCAACTCCCAGCCCACTTCGACCTTGGCCACGAAGAATTACCGAGGTTGGTTTCATAGGGTGACCGCAGGGGTGGACGGTCTTTGTCTCAGAGGACCCTCCCACAGGTCTGCGTAACAAGAGCACTGAGTCCCGGAGAGTCCCTGCCTGAGGGGTTTTGACTGTCACGTTGCTCTGCCTGAGGGCCTGCTGAGGTGCTGGTGGCTGCGTAGGGTGGAATAGTTTTTCTTTGTTATTTACTGATTTGAGACAGAAACTTCGAGTCTGTTGTTCTGCTCACTAGAGCACTCACTGATCGCTCATTGTGTGAGCCCTGACGGGGGACCAAACTCCCATCTGGACGGCACTCCAACCCCGGGGCTGAGCGGTTTGTTCTAACCGGGCGTGTGAAGGGCCTTTGGGTGAGAAAGCGGCTCAGACGCCCTTTGACCTGGTGCCCACCTGCTGCTCTGGAAAGCAGGGGCTGGCGCAGGCCTGGCCCCAAACCTGGTGGGGGAGGGGGGCTCCCTTTCCTCTGCTGGTTGTAATCTCACCGGTTCGGCACTTTTGCCTGAACTCGGCCTTGGAGAGTACCGAGCACTCCCAGGGTGTGTTCCCTTGGAGATCACACTTGTCGCTTTGGGCTCGTCAAAGGGATGCGGGTGCCAGCAGAGCCTGTCCTGGCCGCAGCAGAAGGAAATAAAAACGAGGCGCAGGGTTGCAGCCCCAGTTCAGGTGCCCTGCGGGGACGGGGCCCCCGGGGGTCGTGCTCTGCCTCTGCGTGGGGCTGGGCAGGGAGCCGTTTCCGTGTTTCCAGAGGATGTCTGGGGAGGGGGAGGGGACAGGCCCTCGCTGCCCTGTGACCAGAGAGCCCTGCCCCTCTGTGGCCATCCCCCCAACCCCTGGAGCCCCCGTCAGATCCAGGGGTGTCTTACGAAGTCCTCCAACCGGTCGAGGCCGAGCCAGAGATGAGGGGACTGCGTGCGGTGGGGTGTCCTGGGGCAGAAATGGGACTTGAGGGGAAAACAAATCCGAATGAACTGTAGACTTCAGTTAACACTAAAGAAGCAGGTGGCGCTTCGCTGGGAGCCTTTCTGGCTTTAAAATGCTGATGTGAGTTGTACGCTGTGAGGGTGATTTCGGGTCCGGTTTGCTTCCCAGGCCTGAGAACTGGGGATCTGAGGAGCCTCTTTTGGAAGCCCCAGCTCATTGGGCAGAGCCTGTCTCAGGCGGTGCGTTTTGTGATGGGCACTTTCCCACAGGGTCTCGAGAGTGTCCCCTGGGTTCCTGGACACTGAGGGACATGAAGCTGCACAGAAATTGGTTGAG